AAAAAAACTAAAAGAAAATCACCATGAGGAGTATTACAGCATATCTGCTCATGAAGCACTGGTCACCATGGGCTCTACTGGACAGAAAACTGGAAATGTGTTTGGTAAATAAAAACGGTGTTTAGGCATTTGCAATACAAATGGGGGGAAAAAGAAGCAAGCATCGAGTCTTTGTGTGAGTTTGTGTAACATGAAGTAACTACGACTTCTGCTCGGCTCCTGCTGCAGACTGCGCTGCGCTCTCAGGCTTAAGGATCTGATAGGTGATGAGGTACTCTGGGTAGGCCTAAAGAAAACAAAGCAGGGTGTCAGCCAATATTACACAGCACGTGTTGCTTTTTGCTAACGCTATGGCCCGAGTTCTTAATTACCTGCTCTCCTCTGTAGATGACATACTCGGCGTAAGCTAGGCCGTTAACACTGGGCCGCCCGATTACTGAATGATGTCCTGGGGGAGCGTGAGCCATCTTCATGGCACTGAACTGTAGGAATGACTTCCCCAAAGTCACTCGGCAGAAAAGCATTTGCCTGAGAAGTCACAACATATGAACTGAGTACAGGAACAAAACTTTGCTACGACATCTTTGTGCTGCAGTTTAATGGGTGACAGCCAAAAGTTACCTGTGGCACAGGTAGCAGGATCGGTCTTTGTGTGTTGGGCAGCCAGTGCCTCCACCGATGCCGTAGACGTATTGATTGCTTTTTGAGGAGTTCTCTGCAAAATAGATACCCGCTCCAAACATCCCTCCTATGTAGGCGTGACGCTCATCAAAGCCTTTGTGAATGATGGCATTGATAAACGGGGAGCCTGTAAGAAATTGAGGCAGGATGAAGTTACACAGTAGTCAGGTTTTCTGTTATGTCTGCTGCAGACACACAGAGCACATAGATGGTGTGACAGTGGGTGTGGTTACCGTGAAACAACATCCGCTCATTGTGATGGTTGTGGTTCTCATCTGCGATCTCCTTCTGCCTGTGGGTGTAACGTTCCCTCAGCTTCTTGTTTACCACCTTTTGAATCTGTGTGATACAGTCGGGTACATTTCAAACAGGATGCAGGGAGTTGTGTTTGTTTTACACCATAAACTAATGACTCCTCCCAAACTGCTGTAATATTGAGGTTTGTAACCCCAAAAACATACTAAATAAAGATTTTAAAAATAGCTAATAGATAATCAAAACAGCCAAGTAAAGAGTCAGCGTTCAGACCTTAATGATGTTGTATCTGCTGAAGACACCACCGGCATTGCCTCCATCTCTGTGCTCTCTGATGGTGCTCTGCATCTGTGTGACACACATGAACAACAAGATTTATTATAAGGCACTCTGTCCAGCTATCGCTATATAATAATTTACCAGGTATTTAGAGCAGCTGCATTAAAAAAAGAGACACTATTTGTGGGTAAATGCAGCTTCTCAGCTCACCTCCTCCTCCACTGACTGGTACTCCTTGTCGTCTGGGGCGAGGTCTATAAGAATGGTTCCCTGGCTGGCACAGTGGAATGTCAGGTATGGGTTGCCACCTGAGAAGTGATCAAGATTCAAAGTGTAAAGATGCACACTCTCTATTAAAGTAGTACTAAAAAAAAAACCCAAAAGCCACTGGGTTACACCTCACCTTGTTGGCCGCCCAGCAGCCTCTCAACTCCCTTGATGAGCTTGTGTCGGTGGCCATATGCATTAATCCCGATCTCCTTCAGCTCCTCATGGCCCATGTCAGCCAGCACATCCAGTGTGATCTGAGAAAAAAAGAACCCCACAACAAATTGAGACCTTTAATAATTTAATTTTGGTCAAACTAACAGGTTACAGGTCCAGCGTAAAAGGTGTGCTTGCTAGAAAAAGCCATTATGACCTGCTCTCTCTCAAAGATGTCCCTGAGGTGCTCCAGGCCCAGACTCTTCAGGAATTGACTTATGTTCATGTCCAGCATTGCCACTATGAAAAAAAATAAAACAAAAAACCCAGCAGATTTAATAAAACAAATAATTCTAACAAAAGCTTCCCAGTCTCTTTTATGTCCAATTTGTCTGCTTAACAAGATTTTATAAACTGAGCAGTGTTTGATATAAGCAACAAACTTACTTTCCCCTTCCTTGCGGTCAGTGCCAGTGGCTCCATCTGCCACCCCGGAGGACCCTGTGGCAGCGGCAGCAGCCAGGTCAGTGAGGGGCCCGGC